TACTACCTAGCCCAGAACATAGGCCTGACTGGAATGAAACTGGAAAACCCAGCAGACCCTCAGATGATGATCAATCCATTCCAGCTTGACCCAGCAACGGCAGCAGCTTTGGCACCAGGACTTGGTCAGTATCTATTCATCACTTCCTTACTGATTTTACTATAAGCATCATAATCTAATTGAAGCCAAAACCTTTTTTCTAAAATTTTGCCTTATATTGTGTCTTGCAAATTTCATTTTTAATAAAGCAGCAAATTATGAATAGATAAGACTTATATGGACAGTGTCAACTTGAAATCTAGTCAATATAAATATAGAGTAGGATAAGATGCTACGTTTTCTCCTTGTCAGTATATTGTCTTTGCAATCAAATTTTCTTCTTCCCTCTTGCTGTGGAAAGATCCATATAAATGGTAAGATTAACCAATTATATAACAAAATGCTGGCAACTTTACAAAGTAAGAAATGTAAAGGCACCTATTTCTTTGTAAATTTTCAATTAGTATGTAAAAGTTTTTCGGAGAGAAATGTGATTTGAAAAAAAAATCGACAATGTCCCTTTCTGGTATTCAAATAATAAAATAAAGAAGACAAACTGGTCTCTCATGTTCTTATCTGAGCAGTGTATTAGCAAACTGTTGACTAATGTTAATGATCTGTATTACAAAGTACTAGACACTTAATTCAGTTCTAACAGACCACTTTCGATATTTCTAAACTGGTCCACTGCATACATTTGAATATTAGGAAATCTAAGATTGCATATTAAAAGTAGCTGAACTAGTACAGATACAGTTATCCTAATTAATATGTTATAGACATACATTGACCTATGTTCAGTTATAACGAAACTACAATTAGTGATATGTGTAAGTTAATCTAGGCTTTTAAGTTGCAAAAGCATTGCTGTTTTGTTATTTTATTGATCAACTTTCATGCCTTTGAAAATACAAATTCCAGAATGACATCATGCCCAGTAGGAGTAATTAAAGCTATCTGATGAGGGAATTTAGAAGTTGAAAGGGATGATTGTAATTGATCCTGATTCAATCCTATTACAGCTTTTTATAGTTTAAGCTCTAGAGAAGGCAAACTCCTTGTCAAGGCTTTATTTTACAGATTCCTTTGTGTGTGCTATGCTTTCTGGTCTCTACTTTCCCTTTTAATTTTTTTTTTCCTGTAGTAAATAATGAGCTGCCGCCTGAAATCCGGCTTGCCAGTGGTCAGCTAATGGGTGATGACCTGTCCCTCCTTACTGCAGGAGAGCTGTCACCTTATATCAGTGACCCAGCGCTGAAGCTATTCCAGTGTGCTGTTTGCAACAAATTCACCTCTGACAGCCTGGAGGCCCTAAGTGTGCATGTGAGCAGTGAACGCTCTCTCCCTGAAGAGGAGTGGAGGGCTGTAATTGGAGACATCTACCAGTGCAAGCTCTGTAACTACAACACTCAGCTCAAAGCCAACTTCCAGCTCCACTGCAAGACTGACAAACATATGCAGAAATATCAACTGGTGGCTCATATTAAAGAAGGGGGCAAAACTAATGAGTGGAGGCTGAAGTGTATTGCCATTGGCAACCCAGTTCACCTAAAATGTAATGCCTGTGACTACTATACCAACAGTGTGGATAAATTGCGCTTACATACTACCAATCACAGGCACGAGGCAGCCCTGAAACTATACAAGGTAAGCCTAGTGACAGCAATTTAAGTTGGCACAAGATAGCAGAGGAAATTAACTGTTTCCATCCTAGCAGAACAAGACGTTGATTAATCAGTGAATTAAATAGTTGTTGAATATGTTTATAATCAAACAAAAATATTATGCTGTGTAGTCAAGAGGTACTGCACCTGGAAATTTTTATAGATTTACCTTATGCCCTGTTTAGTTTTCACTTTCTTTGAACAAAAAAGTGCATGGCTAAAACCCTAAGTCAAAAATAACATTGCCACATAATGCATGGCTAGAGCAATTTTATATCTATTTTATAATTATAGCAGCCTTTGTCAGCTAAATTTTAATTGCAGGCTTTTTTTAGCCACAGAGAATGATGAATAGTCCATGCCATGTATCAGAAAGAAGGTGACTTTCTGTCATGGATATCTGTTTGCGGACTATATCACAACCAAACTATTTTATACCAGTATTTACTGTAAACGCATGCACACATTGCATTATTACCAAGCGTATTCAAAAGCAAACAGTGTTATCCTTTTGTCTGCCCTTCTTTTTCAAACCAGTAATGATTTTTCACAAACATGAAAGGGTGTGGTGTAGATACATATGTTAGTAGAATGGCAAATATATTTTTATCTTTACTGGAAAAAACTATGCAGATGTAATGAATGTGTGGGAGTGGTGAACACCATTTATTACACAGCTTGTCATGACTTTTTCCAAACCCTAATTACTGGGTAACTTATTTTCTGCAGTGTGTTTACTGGATTGGCTTGATTGTCTTGGTTCATGTACAAAATATAACACATTCATTTCCAAGATGAATAACTTTGTAACTTATTAGAAACTTCTTTTGTCTAGAGGATATTAAAATTCAGAAAATATTGCAAACCATTAGTCACTCTAACAAGCTCTAAATATGATTAGAAAATCCATTTTGCAAGTGTTATCTATTGATTTATACTAGAATTTTTTGATAACTAAACTATCAGGAGTCAGCTGCTGATTGTAATACCTATGCTGTTTTTCTAATCATATTGAAAATTTATACATGGACAAAGCATGGATAAAAACCTTAGCAGTTCTTTCATTTGGGGAAGATGTAATAGAGTTTGACCTACCTAATTCAAATGTTAGCTTGAATTATGCAGGTCAAAATTTAGATTTGAGATTAATTATATGATAACCGCAATACTTAGGGATTTTGCTAGACAAAAATGAAGACAGCACATTTTTAGTAATAATACAGTTTTAGATCCACAACTTTCTTCCATAACTGTGACTGTTCTTACCTATTTAATCTGATTTCATTTTAAATTAACTTATCCATAGTTACAGGGAAATTTTTTAGGGAGTTGCTCATTCCCATTTTCAAAAATAACAAAATTTCTGAGTCACTTTTGAAAATGGGGGTTAAATGCTTCAACTGTTGTTTTTCAGTCCCCAGGTTCATCTGCAGATTTGCATGAAGTAAACAGGATTGAAAGCCCCAAATTATCTACCCTTTCAACATAACACTTTTTTCCTTCTCCCTCTAAAACTGCCTTCCCAAAAAAAATCCTGGCTCAGTGAATTTGGTTTTAGAGCATATCTTTTAGGGTCTCAAGGACAAAAAAGGGAGTGATATTCAGATTCCAGTACTTCTTAATGAAAATGCCCTGCCATATGTCCACTCATTTTTCAACTTTTGTTTTGCTATAATTCAGTTGAACTTTAATGATGTAGTATAGTACACTGAGATGGACTGTCTCTAAAGTAGACTAGGCCCAAACGCTTTAGGGCCAAATGCACTTCAGTGTAGAGGGGCTACAAAAGGGTCATAGGTGGTATGGCCTATGCATTTATTTGATGTATTTCTTTAAGGCCTAGACTTATGTGAGTAAGTAAGACTCTCAGCTTATATATATAATGAATTAGCAATAGTTCAAGTAGTTTTTTATATTTGGAATTAGCAATAGCAAAAATAAATCTTGCAAGGTCAAAACATTCTGACTTCTCATGGTTTAAAACAGAACGCAGCGGTCTTGATCCTACAGCCCCTCCCCATTCCCAAAGTGACTTTGGTGTGAGTTGAGGGTCAATAATCAGGCCTTTAGGTAGGATTTTTACAAGATTTTCAAAGTCTATAAAGTTACCTGCTGGCAGACTTGATAGTCTTGTCAGGTCTTGGTGAAGTAGTTGACACCAATTCAGTTGTAAACTTTTTTCTCTTGATACATCAGATAAACTTTTAGAGTACCTAGGAAAAAACATTAATTTGTATGAATAATAGATACATGCCTTGGGAGTGATATAGAATATTCATGAATTGTGTTTATATTCAAGCAGCTCCTCTAACTCTTTTAAATTAAGATGCTGTGAATATGGTTTAGTAATAAAATTTAATACTAAAACCATATGAGAGCACAGAAGGAGACACTGTGACTTTGCTCCTTTGTTTTGTCAAGCACCTCAAAGATTTTTTTCTTTTGTTATTTATATTTATTTAAATGTTATTGTTCATGAATTTTCTTTTTATAAATGTTACCATAACAGCTTGATTTTCTTTCTGTGCTTAACTGTTGATGGGATAAAAGGATGTCTTTTTCTAAACATAGCTTTTAAAGCTACCATGAACATCAGAGCTTCTCTTCAAGAGCTGTATAATTTTAGGCAGTATCAAAATGTCACTTTTAAAATTAGATTCAAAACATGGCAAAGTTAAAACCTTTAGCTGTTTTCTAAGTTATAAAAAAAACCAAAACTCACTCATTCCAGTATTACAGTATTCAAGTGGTGTTCGTAATGTGACTGCTAGGAACCAGAACAAAGAGAGTCTTACCCTGAATGAACTCTGCTTGGGCTAAATGAAGTTCTAAAAGACTTGCATTTGGAATGCTGAAGTATGGTATTAGAAAATTAAACCACAGAAGAGTTGTGAATCCTTTGCAGTATCCAGCAAGAAGCATTCAATCATTCTACAAGCAAATAGAAAAAGACTCTATAGCAACAAAGTACATTTCCATTCTCCAGGAGGCAGAGTGAGTCTTCTGCAGACTTAGGAAGCAGAGACAGGACAGTGATCTTTGTTGCTATAAAATATAGATAATTTTAACTTCTCTAGGGGAGACATTTTGTAGCTTAGCAAAATACTTTGTGATGTGCTGTAACTGCATACATCTTACTCTGTATTCGTAAAGTAGTTTTCAAATAATTTTAATATGCCAGCAGTTAAGGTGGTCACATTTTGTGTATACAAACTTGTGGTTGATGAAAAAGTTAGTTAACTGAATACTTAACAAACATGGTCTAGTGCTAGCCAGACGATTTTGTAATCACAGAATAATAACAAAATTGGATGCCCCAATTTGTGTTATTTAGTTACTAGGTAACAGCTTTAATGGAAATTAATTTTATGGGGTATTTACATCACACCATTTTACATAACCAGTTGTTTAAGGGAACTTGACAAGCAGTATTTGATAGATTCTGCTTGTCAAGTATCTACCAGATACTCAATACCAAATACACAATACTCAGCTGTGAAAACTACTTCACTTTTCCTTTATTGACAAAATATTGACTCATAACACTATTAATGCTATGATTGTCAGTTCAGTTTGAATTGACCACTTTGCTTCTTGTGTTCTGAAAAGGCAAAGATATTACCCAAAAGGAGAATGACCTAATTCTAGTTGAAGAAGGTTAAAGGTGAAAGGTTACCTCAAAGCATCATCTGCCTAGCTGCTTAACTTTAAACTGATCAATTTAATGAAAATCTGTTTTACAGATGGTGTTTTAATGTCTTTGGCAGGATTTAGGCAGCTTTAACATTAAACGTATGCTAGTAAAAATTATTTCTTTATTTGACCAGAACAACACCTTTTCTTTTATGTTTTAAGGTAAAAGGCATGTGGGATGTGGTATTTTGGCAAGAAACCCAAAAGCAAAAAGTGTTGATGATCTTTCCATATGGGCTCAAAAACAGAATACCTTTATGTCTATTGCTAACGATGACTGAGGAAACAAACAAAGCTGTGTTCATTTTTCACCGTAATGTTTTACTTTGAATCCATAAAAAGGAATTTAAGTCAGAACTGCCCTTGAAAAAAGCTTCTCTTCATTGCCTAAGGTGGAATGCAACAGCACTCAGAAAATTTTATACCAGGTAGAGCAAGCTAATTGTGCCTTTAAGCCCTGTCTATTGGCAGATTTGCATCATTTTCATTTCATTCTCAAAATATTGAATAAAGGATAATATTTTAATCTTATTATTTAATTATAGATGCCATAAACAATAGTGAAAGTAAGTTGCTTACAATGGGTAAAAATTACATGATGGAGATTCCCCTAATAAGCAAAGGGGCAAATTCTTAGGGCTGTTGGAAATCAGTAAAGCTCCTTTCACCCCAATTGGCCTCCCATAATTTTACTTAAGATAATCAATACAAGTGGAAAATTTTGTTCCATCTGATTGTAAAATATGCAAGTCAAAATAAATTTCTTAGGCTTTTAATGCAGAACTGTCATACTTAGCTCTGTAATTTGCTAGAGCTCTATATCCCTTCTTGCAATGCATCTTTAAATATTACACATGCAGTCATGGTCTGTGCATAACAGTCTTAAAAGTGGTACCCTTTATTTTATATTGACCTTCCAACTTAGTTAAAAAGAGTTTACAATGAGTCTTTGTTTTGTCCACAAATGATCATAAACACATTTCTAAAGAGCACAATAAAATGAGATAATCACAAATGTATAACATCACATATTGAAAGGATAGACGAACAAATGGGGCTTTTACTAAATTTTATAGGATGGATTTATAGTCTATTCTTGGGTCACTTAGGGCCAAGAATTTTCACGGTCAGCTGCTTGGTCTTGCTAGCTAGCATCCTCTGCAGGAAATGCATATACCATGCAGCACCTGCTCTTCAGCTGGGGTTGTACTCCTATGCTGTTTAAAAGTGAGGTGTCCACTTCTCGTCTGGTTCAAAGTCAAAAGCTTAATTATACTAGCTTTCTTCTGC